GCGCATGCCACTACGGCTGCCCTTAGTCTTTGCTATGTGACACAGTGTCACATTGCCGGGCTTGAAGCTAGATTGGTGCCCCAGACTGGCCCCGGATTCTTCTGCTTGAGTGTTGGCATTGCAGGTGTGCTCTGAATGACCCAGTACTCCAGGGCTTAAGGTCAGGTCATTGTGGTATTTCCCCAGAGTCTCCATAGTTGCTAATCTTGGGAAAGAACAGTCCTGTTCTGTGGTGAGATGGGGAGAGCAGTGGGTGCTGCTCACACGGTTTCTGACATCTTTCAGTCACTGATGGAAACTTGAGCTGAGGTAGGAGTTGAGAAAGGTCCTTCCCCACCGCACTCTACAGGTTAAAGCCGGCAGCCTTCCTGTGATTCCAGGCAGCACCCTGTGGTCTGTGCTGTGCCTCCGTTGTCTTAGTTGTTCTAAGCAGAGCACAGATCTAAAGGACAGGCAGGGATTTACACTTGAGAGTTTTCTAGGAACAGAGAAGATGTCTGCTATCAGGGTCACATGATTGACAAAGAGGGCATTGGTGGTACACACCTAAACCTAACCCAAGAGGCAGAGCCCGACAGATCTCTGCAGTCCGCCCAAGGCTGCACAGTGAGGTGGTGTGCTCACTCCCCGAAAAAGGGGGAGCTTGATGACAATTCAGTGTTGGTGTCACTTCCTCCCTGACAGGCTTCCCGTGATGAACCACCGTTTTGAACACTACTAGATTTTTCCACCTTAAAAAAAAAAAAAAAACCCTTTTGGGCCAGTTGGGTGCCCCACCAGGGAGGATACCCACCTCCAAACCTAAGGATCTGAGTAAAATCCCTAGGACCGAAATTACGAAAGCACCACATATATACATGCGTAAATGAATAAACAATAATTTTTAAAATAGAAAAGTACTTAGGTACTAGGGGACCCAGGTTCAGTTCTCTGCACCCACAGAGCAGCCCACAACTATCTGTAACTCCAGTTCCAGAAGTTTACTCTGCCAGCGTCAGGTGTCACGCACATGTAGTGCACATACATGCAGCAAAACTACCGTACATATAATAGGAAAATACTGAGGAGCTTGGAGACAGCTTAGTGGTTGGACTGTGTGCTGCTCTTGCAGAAGCCCTAGGTTTGGGGTGCCTCATAACTGCCTGCAATCCCAGCTCCAGAGGGCCTGATGCCTTCTTGCCTCTGAGGGCATCTACACTCGTGTGCAATTAGAAATCAAATCCAGGGTTTAAAAGTGTGTGTGTGTGCACATGCCTGGGGCTGTGGGTGGTGTGGCATATTTGAGAGTGAAGCTGTAGAAGGTTGGGAACTGTTGTGTGGGTTCTGGGAACCAACCCCGAGTCCATGAGAATAGAAGTGCTCGCAATTGCTGGGCTGTCTCCCCTGCTGACCTCAGTTGTTTTGGAATTACAGCAGCCTCTCTGTGCAGCTATGGTTGTCCTGAAACTTGATTTATAAACTTAGCTGTCTTTGAACTCAGAGATCTCCTGCTGCTTCTACTCCCTGCCATGTCCAGCTGACAGAAGGACCTGGTTTAGAGGGTTTTTGTTACTGTTTTTTGAGGGGGCTAGGTTTTTTTTTTGTTTTGTTTTTGAGACAAGATTTCTGTATGCTCTGGCTGGCCTGAAACTCACACTTGTAGACCAAGCTGGCCTGGAACTCGGAGCTCTCCCTGCTTCTGCCTTCCCAGTGCTGGGATTAAAGGTGTGTGCCACCATGCCCAGTTGACTTAAGATTTTTTTAAATGTATTTATGTATATATGTACACTGTAGCTGTCTTCAGACACACCAGAAGAGGGTGTCAGATCTCACTACAGATGGTTGTGAGCCACCATATGGGTACTGGGAATTGAACTCAGGACCTCTGGAAGAACAGTCAGTGCTCTTAACTGCTGAGCCATCTCTCTAGCCCGACTTAAGATTTTTTTTTTTTAAGGGAAAAAAGAAATTGTTTCTGATACTGGTATGCTAGGCAGGTACTCCCCACTCTCCCCACTGACCAGGCCCTGGGCCTCTATAGTTTTTATTTTGGTAAAGGGTCCCTCCAAGTTTCCCAGGCTGGTCTTTGCTCTGTTGCTCAGGCAGACCTTGGACTATCTGTCTTCTATCCTTTGCTTCCCACCTGGCTCCTTCCTTTCTTTGAGCAGACTTAGAGCTTAAGGTTTTCCCCTCTAACTTAGTTTTCACTGGCAGAGAACATGGAGAATGTTCCAGATGTGGCCGAGTTACTCTAGCTAAAGGTTGCTGTTGGCCTTACACAACCTCCCTGTTGCAGTTGGCCACGAGGAGACAAACTTCTCTTTCCAAGCACCCACTGCTGCTTCAGGGCTCTGCAGCCTTAGCAGAGCCATCCGTGTAGTGTGCTGATGAGGTCACTGGAGCTTTAAATAGCGCCCAGCTCTTGAAATAAGGACAGCATGATTTAGGGCAAAGGCCAGAACTAGATCTCCATGGCCGCAGGCACTTGAGCTCTTCTGGCATCTGAGACGGGGATTGGGTTGCACCGCAGCAGGGCTTCGGTTTCTGCAGAGACCTGTGAACAAGCCTGTGTCTGACTGTCCGGGGAGTTAGCTCTCTGCAGGCTGCTGTTGAGGTTCATGGAAGGAATGTAAAGACTTAGGAAGGCGGGAAGGGAGGGAGGGTCAGACCAAAGAGAGAGTGCAGCAGGAAGACAGCCGAGGACGTGGTTGTTGATAAGGAAGGTGGAGGCTTCGTGGGGAGTTCTTCTGGTGCTTCCTCGGATACCTCTTTCCATACTGTAGCGCATATACTTTGTCGTGAATTGAGCACTCCACAGTGGCTCAAGCCTTTAATCCCATCATGCCAGAGCCAGAGGCAGGCGGGGGTGTTCTGGGTCAGCCAGGACTACGTTGTAGTGATGCTTTGTCTCAAGGGAGAGAAAAGCATTTGTCTCAAACACCTAAAGGTACCCATGCACATGCAGAAATAGGTCTTTATGGGTATGATAGTTGGAATGTAGCTCAGTGGGTAGAAGGCTAGGCTACTATGCCAGAGGCCCTGGGCTTGATCCTAACACCACCTAAAAAGTAATGGTGGGGCCACACTGCTGTATCTATAGCAATCAAAGCCCAGAGAAATGCAGTGGCTTGCTCCTAAGGCCACCCAACAAGCTCTTGTCTTCTGAGGCCTCAGGACTCAGCAAGAGTTAGACAGGGTGGTCCACACTTAACAGTCCACAGTGGAGAGCCTAAAGCAGGAGGACAGGGAGGTTGGTTTGGCCTGGAGGGCTTGGTTTGTTGGTTGGTTGGTTTTGTGGGGGTTTGATTTGGTTTGTTTTTTTTTTTTTCCTTGTCAACTTGACACAAGCTGTGGGCAAGGCTGTCTGGAGGTGTTTTTTCTTGATTAGTGATGTGTGTGTGTGGGGGGTGAGGCCCAGCCCACCGTGGGTGGTACCAACTTCAGGCTGGTGGTCTCGGGTGGTATAAAAATGTAGGCCAAGTACTTCATGGGGAGCAAGCTAGTAAGCAAGTCTCCCCCCATACACCCACTATGGCCTGACTTCCCCCCAGTAATGGAGAGTGACCTGAGAGTTAATAAGAAATCACCGCTTTTGATCATGTATTTATTACAGCAGCAGGAAGCTAACTGAGGTGATGTAAGACTGTGTCCCTCCAGGGTGGTGTGGGCACAGGGTGACCAGTAGCATGGCGGCTGCAAGCCTCCCTTGTCTGACTTCCTGCTTCCTGTAGACCCGCTAGAGCCGGAGCCTCGCCCGTAACTCCTGCTGTTCACTAGGAATAAGATGGCCAGGGCTTAATTTCACATCCTGGGCTCAGGGCAAGGTGTAGTGCAGATGAGGCCTGGGTTCTGTCTCCAGCACTAAGTGGTGCCATACTTGTCCCTTCTGGTTTTTCCCAGTGCTGCAAATTGGAACCTAGAGTGTAAAGATGCCCTCTGCTGTTTAGCTGCAGAACTGCTGTAGCCGCAGACGGTGTAAATCTGTTTCCCTAGTCTGCTAAGGCTCCTCGGTGGTCAGGAACTTACGTTGTTGGTTTTTTCCTTTTATGGATTTTTGAGACACGATCTCTATGTAGCTCTGACTGTCCTTGTTTACTATGTAGAACAGACTGACTTCAAACTCAGATGTTGTCTGTCTCTGGATGTTTTAGCAACATGTGTCTGTGTACCACATGTGCCTGGTACCTGCAGAGGCCAGAAGAGGGCATTAGATGCCCTGGACTTGTAGTTACAATGGCTGTGAGCTACCATGTGGGTGCTAGGAAGTGAACTCCAGGTTCTCTGGAAAGAGCAGCCAGTGATCTCAAACTCACAGAGCTTGCCTGCCTCTGCTTCTTGGTTTAAAGGTGTGCGCCACCAACCTCCTGGCTTCTCCAGTCCCATTTTAAAATTATTTATTCCATTTATTTGTGTGTTGGGAAAAGTTTATTTATATGGTTTGTGGAGTTCAGGGGCAACTTGAAAATCGGTTCTGGTCACTATAGATCCCAGAGTTAACCCTGCATTGAGACTTTACAATGGGTGACTTCACTCTCTGAGCCATTCTGCCTGGCCCAGTCACCCAGTGTCGACTTCCTTTCTGTGGTGGTCATCTGTTTGTTGTTAGCATAGGAGAAGAAAAACTTCCTTTTTGCCCAAAAGTCAACTTAAGGGTGACTCATTCCCGGAGGGACCATGACTCAGATAAGGGCACTGGTCAGTCTGAGAAGCCTGCTCCCTTCCTGAAAACATAGCTAGCTTGTGCTGTGATTGCTAGGGGTCCATGTTATGTGAGAGGATTTGACTTGTCTTCTAGGACAGGCTGACAGTCATTCTGTGGAGGATGCTGGTGCTTGTTACCATGGAAGCCTCCTGTGCTCCTCCTCTTGCTCATTCCCCTTGTGCCCAGGCAGAGTACAGTCTGTCTGTCTGCCTGCTAACCACCTCGATGGCTGGTGGACCTGTTGTGGGTGGTGTAAAGATTTGCTTCTCCCCATTATCATCATCTCTGTTGTAACGGTACTCTGTCCTTCCTCCTCCAGGTGACAGAGCTGAATGAACCACTGTCCAACGAGGAACGGAACCTCCTGTCGGTGGCCTACAAGAACGTGGTTGGGGCTCGCCGCTCCTCCTGGAGGGTCATCAGCAGCATCGAGCAGAAGACGTCTGCGGATGGCAACGAGAAGAAGATCGAGATGGTCCGAGCCTACCGGGAGAAGATCGAGAAGGAGCTGGAGGCCGTGTGCCAGGATGTGCTGAGCCTGCTGGACAGCTACCTGATCAAGAACTGCAGCGAGACCCAGTACGAGAGCAAGGTGTTCTACCTGAAGATGAAAGGGGACTATTACCGTTACCTGGCGGAAGTGGCCACTGGGGAGAAGAGGGCGACCGTGGTGGAGTCGTCCGAGAAGGCCTACAGCGAAGCCCATGAGATCAGCAAGGAGCACATGCAGCCCACCCACCCCATCCGGCTGGGCCTGGCGCTTAACTACTCCGTTTTCTACTACGAGATCCAGAACGCCCCGGAGCAAGCTTGCCACCTGGCCAAGACCGCCTTCGATGATGCCATCGCCGAGCTTGACACTCTGAACGAGGACTCCTACAAGGACTCCACTCTGATCATGCAGCTGCTCCGAGACAACCTCACGCTCTGGACGAGCGACCAGCAAGATGACGACGGCGGCGAAGGCAACAACTAAGGCCCGGGTGGACTGGCAGCGCACGCTGATGCTACTACTGCAGTCTTTATTTTTTTCCCATGAGTTGGGGTCGGGTGGGGGAGGGGAAAGGGAGGGCTGACCTTCCCAGGGAGAAACCCACGACTGTCCTGTCTTTGATTGCCTCTTTGACATTTTTGCCAAACTACCACTAGTGGAAAGTCAGGCTAGCTGTGCTGGTATCGGAGTAGCAGCCTCACACAGGCACCCACCAGACTGTTGTGCAGGCTTGTGCAAGTGGAGCTGTCTGCCTTTAGTTTAACTTATTGCTAGACGGTAGGATTCTAAGAAGAAAACTGGAGATGGATGGCCCTCATTCAGTGCGTTCTGTGGTTCCAGTAAGGATTCTTCTGTCCACACACTCTCTTCTTCAGTTCCGTGGCTGTTTTCTCTCTGTGGCTGTGCTTTTTTTTTTTTCTTTCCCCGGGGTGTATACCAGAGAAGTCATAGTTTAAATTACCCAAGTGGACAGGCTTAGAGTGGAAGACAACCTTTATTGATGAGTCAGACATGGCCCTATATTTGGAAGTCTCTGACGGGTTAACAGTATTAACACTAAATTCTAGTTTACAGTGTTTCTACATGACAGCCATACATGACACCAAGCCGTTGGTCCTGAGCTTTCCCTTGTCAGTTCGGCTTTACATCTGTCCTGGGTGGTCTGGCTGGTCGTCAGCTCTTAACATGGGGAGAGTCAGAGTCCCATTAGGTTCTGGGTGATGGGTGCTTGGCAGGTGGCTGTGGGGAATACTTTTTTTTTTTTTTTTTTGGTTCTTTACTCCTTAAGGTAAGCCCTTCACAAAAATAGAAACTGTTAAGTATCACACACACACAGAGAAAACGGAGAAAATTCAGGTCTGTATGTCATTTATCAGCGACTCCTGCTCTCAGCAGCCAGGGCTCCGTCCCAGTGTCACTGCCTGTTGAATGTTTCACAGCACCTGAGTCTCCCCGCACCTTGTGCTAGCAGCATGCAGGTGTCCCGAGGCGTCGGGCTGGATGGTAGAGGTGGGAGGTGATGAACAAGACGTGGAGCATCTGGTGCCAGCAGCTGAGCCAACAGGAAGCCCACTAGGAAGAGGCTGTTCACTGGAGGGAGCCTGGTCCCTAAGCCACCCCTCCAACCCCGCACTCCTTTCCTAAGTGCTTAGTGGAGGGTAGCCGAGGTTCAGCAGGAGGCCGTGCTCACCCCTGTTTGGCCTAAGCTTTCCTGGTTTTCCTTTTTAAATGAAATCATAGTTGTTGGAGATTGGCTTCTCTCTTGTGAAGTCGCTGCACATGTGACATTGAAGGAAGCTATGCTGCTATGTCCTACATGGTCCGTCTCAGCCCTAGGTCCCTCATTCTCACTGTGGATAAACCTTTCCATAAACATGTCCTGTTGCATGCAGAGTGTGCAGTTTATGTCTTCTGGAGAACCAATGATCTCATGGGTTCCCAAGACGGGCAGCACCCCAAACTTGGCTTTACTGTCTTGAGAGGCCCAGCAGCCACCTTCTCTTTACTGAAACCAAGCTCCCACTAAGTTGATATGCGGTGACGTGGCTGTGAAGAACGAGGCCCCTCTGCAGTCCTCCCAGCATGCCCTTCCTCAGAGGCCCTCATGCTAGTGTGCAGTACCCACTGACGGAGACCCACGGAAGACCGCAGTGGAGGAAGCTTGGCCACCAGAGCCATGGACAGAGGGGTCAGTGGGGCTTCGCCCGGTTTGTCTCCACGTCCGAAGTGAGCGTGTCCGTGTCCCGCTTGTAGTGTTTGGAAATGACCTACTGGAATTGCAAAACCTAGTTTCTCTTTAAATTTCAGCCTTGACCTTTGCTGTGTTCTAGAGAAATCATGTGAGGGTAGAACTGAAGAGGGAGAGTGGGAGACCTGAGGTGAGCGAGCGCGATGGCTCCTTCTTCCTTCACTGTTGAGAAGCGCACCTGCCTCTGATGCTGTCTCCAGTGTGGCCCGCCCGCCCACCCGCCCGCCCGCGGCTGCTCTCCACCCTATCGATACAGTACTGTGCATGCTGGTGTTGTATTTCTATATGGTAGCCTGACATTTATTAACTTACACTGTAGCTGTTATGTATTCCTATGACAAAGAAAACTTAAGACTTCACTTTTTTTTTAAGCTTTTTTTTTTTTTATTTAATTTTTTTCTTTCAGGGGTAAAGTTTGCTTTACCAAATAGTGATTGTAACAAATTGATCTGTTTTGGATGTTGCTATAGTGACATGCAGTTCTATATTTTGTTTTTCAGGGGGGAGGGGACAAAAGAAACACCAGTGTTAGCTTACTCTTAATGTCTGGTGTTTGTCATGGTGAAATTATAAGTATCACAGTGTAGGAGAACGCCGCGGACGTTCTCGGAACGCGCCTCTGCTTTCTCGTCATGTTATGCAGTGAAACTATTTTTAAGGTCTAATCAAGTGATTTTCCCCCCAACTCCGTGTTTCGCTAAGGAATTATTTCGCACACGGACCATTCTTAGCAGTCTCCTCAGTGATGGAATATTCATGGTTGTGAGTCATTATGTAGCCGTCGTACATTGAGCAAAATAAACTTACAGATCTGATGTCGGCGGGACCTAGCTTCATTTAATAGAGTTTAACTGCTTTGTTTTTGAAAATTTGATTGGAGGTGGGTGTCTTCCACCTCCACTCAGGAACGAGGCTGGGCGGTGGGGTGTGGATTCGGCAGTACGTAAAATCAAAGGTGGGGGTGTAGCTCAGGCTCACAGAGGCTCAGCTCTCGCCTGGCGGGTGGGAGGGTTAGGTTTGACTTCTCAGCACAGTGGGTGGAGGGGGCAGATAGAGCAAGTCGGGTGTGGTGGTTTTTACAGTTGTGATCCCAGTACTTGAGTCTATGAGACAGGAGATGACAAATTCAAGGCCAGCTTACACTTACAGTGAGACAATTGACTCACTTGCAGGTCCTCTGGACTTGGGTGCTTCACATGTCACATCCCCTTGTGCTGGTTCCGTTGATGTTTCATTTAGGAATGGTGGGTGGGCTGAAAGAGTGCAGCCTGGGTGGCAGGAGCTAGGTAGGCTCACTGTCACTGTCACCCAGGCAGAGTGAGTGGAAAGAAAGATCGTCCTGCTACCCGAGTGCTGCAATTACAGGCCTGCACCTCTGAGTTCCCGGACAGCCAGAGTTACACAGAAACCATCGGGTGAGGTTCAGGGGCGAATGTACTAGTAACCAAGAGGCACATAGCAGCACCCTGGATGCTAAAAGTAAGGTCTTGAGTTCAGAGCCAGGCTGGGTGACCAGCATAGGGAGAGCCTGTCTTTATGAAGGAAAAGCAATACAGAAAAGGTGGTGGGTGGAAGTGCCGCTGGTGGAGTGACCCACCCGTGTACTTGAGACCCTCCCTGTCCTGGTGTAGCTCCATTCAGGAACTCTGGAGGTGGGAGCATCGCTCTTTCTGCCCAGGACATACACTCTGGTTACTGCTCTTTCCCCAGCTCTATTTATGCATGATTACCACACGCATTGGCCTTGACACTGGTCAGCTGAGCCTGCATGTTGACTCACAGGGTGATGGGGTGGCCAAGAATGGCAATCTGGGCCTCAGAGCAAGCTTGGGGAAACAGCCTCCGAAAACTAACCCGGTAACATCGTCTCTATTTCTGGGAGTTGACATTCAGATTAATCGGAACGCTGAGGTGCGACAGACAGCTTGCCTGGTGGGCCTGCTTCTGTCATTTTTCCAGCTCTGGTGTGTCAGCCTACAGTTAAATCTGAAGAGCCACAAATTTGGTCTCTTCTGGGTATCTGTGGGCAGGGCAAGGGGAACTGGTTCACATCACACAAGCAAAAGACAAAAGGGACTTCGGGGAAAAGCCACCTAGGGCTAGGACAGTGATTCCAAACTTTTCTTATGCTGCGGCTCTTTAATTTCCTCATGTAGTGACCCCTAAACAAAATTATTTTCATTGGTACTTCATAACTGATTTTGCTACAGTTGGGCAGCTGGAAGGAGTCCTGACCACAGGGTGAGAACCACTGGCCTAGAGAGGCTCTGATTTGCCAACAAGACCAAACAGCTGGGGTGGCGGTACACTGACTTTAATCTCAAGCAAAGACAGGCAGATTTCTGAGTTTATATGTGAGTGAGATAGATGGGGTTTATGTAGCCCAGGCTGGCCTCAAATTCTTAAATTCCCCTGCCTCTACCTTCCAATTCCTGAGATTACAGGTGGTCACCGCACCCAGCCCAGTAGCTGAAGATTTTGCTTTGTCCTCCAGCCTTTGCCCTGGTCTTAAGCAGCAGAGCCCGTTACCTATGCTGTCAAGGCCCAAACTACCACTCTGGTTATTGCCAACACCCAGCAAAAGCCCTAGGTTTCTTCCCTCAGACCTTGAGATAGGATGGCTTGACTTCTGCTCTGTGCTTCGCTCCACCTGTGCTTGCCTCTGGTGAGGTAGATCTGGTCTGCAGTTGTCCTGTCCCCAAAGACAAGGCTGGAAGCCGGGTGGTGGTAGTGCCCGCCTTTAATCCCAGCACTTGGGAGGCAGAGGCAGGTGGATTTCTCCGTTCGAGGCCAGCCTGGTCTACACAGTGAGTTCCAGGACACCCAGGGCTACACAGAGAAACCCTGTCTCGAAAAACAAACAAAACAAACAGACAAGGCTGGAAACAGTGTAGTACTCTGTACTCACAAGGGACCTCTGAGCAGGAGAGCGAGACATGTCGTTCTGAGTCTTTATCAAGGGAATTGGACCACTTTCTTTCCCAACGTGATGGGCGTGACTGGATCACCTCAGACGTTTCCAGACCCATTTTTGGTCTCACCTCACACATAGCCGGGTTTTCACAAGGGGGATCTTAATGGTTGTTGAATTTTCTTGGGTTTGGGTTGATTTGGTGGTTCTCGGGATAAGCCCCAATGCTTGACATGCTCTTAAGAACCACTCTACTGTTGAGCTTCTGCCCCACCCCAGCCAATCAACCAGGGAATATTTGACAAGTGTTGTATGCCCAAGTAGTCCCCACTTGCTGGGGAATCACCCCCTTCAAGCTAGC